CCAACTGTCGCGAGATCTCCCATTGAGAAGCACCGCGATCTTGCGAGACCTCGCTCCTCCTGCCCTCCTTCACGCTCGATCTCACACCAAGTCTCGCGAGAGCGCTGCGCGTTTCAATTGGTGCTGCCGTGAGACCTCGGCCCTCCCCGAGCCTCTCTCGCCTTCCCCGCCCGCTGTCCACGCCGCCCTCCCGCCACGCCAACTCTCGCCAAATGCAAATACTTCCCTATGGGCGCTATCGCGGTATTTTAGCCCCCTCTTTCCTCCCGCCTCCTTCAGGCCTTCCTCCCCCGCCCTCATCCCCCTCCCGCCACACGACGTCTCGCGAGATCATACCGCCTTTCTACGGGCTCGCTCGCGAGATTTCAATACCCCCAAACCGGCTTTTTTTTTTCTCACGCCCGCCTCCTTCCTGCCCTTCATGCAAGTCTCGCGAGATTGCCGTGGGTCTCAATAATTTTTCTCGTGAGATTTCCTCCCGCCTTTTCCTCTCTTCCCGCGCTAACTCTCGCGAGATCGCAGCCCATCTCAGTGAGACCTCTCGCGAAATCTTAATCCTCCCCTTTCCCGCCGTCTCGGCTCGCGAGATCCGCAACTGCTGTGTGGAAAGTCTCGCGAGATTCTGCTCCCAACCCACTGCCCGCCCATTTTTGTCCCCTCCCGCGCGCTCTCGCGCGATTTGAAGCGCTGAAGCCAGGTGTGCATTGCCACGCTGCTCACGCCCCTTTGTGGGTGTGGCCTAAGCAAAAGAGGCGTGGCTGAGCATTTCTGGTCTGCGCCGGCACTTCCGGCGTGGAGGCCGCCATCTTGGTCCTCCCGCCAGAGGGCCCTGGGCGCCGCCATCTGTGTCCTGTGGGCGCCGCCATCTTGCCCGTGCCATGGAGGATGACGGGACGCGTCCCCTTCCCTTCCTCCCTCTTGTTCCCAAAAAAACTTTTTTTTGGATTTTTGAGCTTTTTTTTATCCAAACGGAGGCAAAACGGAGCAGAAACACAAAAAAAAAAATTCCCCATTTTCGCCCCAAAATGCGCGTGGGGAGGGTAGGGGACCCAGTGGGGGCAGGGGAAGGTCCCCAAAAGTCACCTGGGGGTCCCCAGGCCTCCCCCACGTCCCAGGTGAGCAGAGGTTTGAGCCTAGGTGTGTCCCAGGTGTGCCCAGGTACCCCCAGGTGTGCCCAGGTGTGTCCTGGGTACCCCCAAGGTGACCTCACGAGCTCCCAGGTGTGTCCCAGGTGTACCCCTGCCATGCCCAGGTGTGTCCTGGATACCCCCAAGGTGACCTCACAAGCTCCCAGGTGTGTCCCAGGTGTACCCCTGCCATACCCAGGTGTGCCCAGGTACCCCTGGCTTTATCCTGGATACCCCCAGATTTGCCCAGGTGTCCCCAGGTGCGTCCCAGGCGTGTCCAGGCGTGCCACAGGTATCCCCAGATACACCTTGGCCATACCCAGGTGCACGCAGGTGTGTCATGGTCTATCCCAGGTGCACCCAGGTGTGCCCAGGTACCCCCAGGCGTGCCCAGGTGTGCCCAGGTGTGTCACAGGAAGTAGTCGGCCACGGGTTTCTTGGCGGGGATGCCGCGCGTCTCCTGCGGCGCCGCCTCAAAGATGATGAACTCCTTCTGCAGGTGCTCGTCCAGCTCCAAGATGGCCGCCACGTTCCCGCACCTGCCGGGCATTTGCATCTCATTTGCATCTCATTAAATTAATTAATTTGCATCTCATTGAATTAATTAATTAAATAAATTTAAAATCCTCTAAGTGGATTTTAGCAGGTGCTTAAGCCCCGCCCGCTCCGTAATTAACTCCCACCTAACTCCCGACTAACGAGTGCTCGATTAGCGCGTCGTTTGCATACCGGTAGCAGTAATTGGGGGCCGACCAGACGGTGAGCACGGTCTCCCCGAAGTGCCACTTGTAGCCCTCCATGACGAGCTGGTGGGCGCGGCAGATCATGGACACCTCGTTGGCCGCGTTGAACTGCGCCACCACGTCCGAGCCGAACAGGTAACCCGCGCCGCGCGGGGACACGCCCCAGCCGGTGGTGTCTGACGCGCGAGACGGGCGACAAGGTGGGTTTTTTTGGCCGATTCGGTGAATTTTGGGGTAAAATTCAGGGGTTCTGAGGGGTTTTCCCGGGGTTTTGGGTCCGGGCGTGTCCCTCACCTGCCCACACCTGTCCCTCCCCAGCACGGTACCTTCGGGGTCGGACCAGAGCAGGTCGCACATGGGGCCGTCGTGCGGCACCTCCTGCTTGCGGTCGATGGTGCGGATCTGGTCCAGGGTCTGGATTGACGGCGAGAGCCCCCCGTGCACGCAGAAAATCTGGGGACGTTTGGGGTGTTTGGGGACGTTCGGGGCACCGGAGTCCCACCCCCTCCACCCGCCCTGGCGCCCCCAGGTGTGCCCAAGTGCGCTCACCTTGCCGTCGATGATGGCCGACAGGCTCAGGTAGTCGAAGATCTCGGTGCAGTAGCGCCACACGGTGACCGAGCCGTACTTGCGCAGGCACTCGTCGTAGAAACCGTACACCTGCGTGATCTGCCGCGACTCGTGGTTACCCCGGATCAGCGTGATCCGGTCCGGGTACCTCACCTGGGCACGGGTAACACACCTGAGTCACACCTGGGCACAGGTAACACACCTGTACCAGGTACAACACGCCTGGCTCACACCTGGGCACAGGTAACACGCCTAAGTCACACCTGGCACAGGTAACACACCTGTACCATGTACAACACACCTGGCTCACACCTGGCTCAGGTGAGTCAAGCCCAGGGACACACCCATGGGGTCACACATGAGGGGTGTGGCAGCACCAGGCCGTGCCCAGGTCTCACCTGTCCCTCACCTGTCTCATCTGAACACACCTGTGCTCACCTGTCTGACACACCTGGCCAGGTGAGCTCACCTTTAGGGCCAGCAGTAGCAGGAAGGTCTCTACACTGTAGAAGCCACGGTCGACGAAATCGCCCATGAACAGGTAATTGGTCTCAGGTACGTCCCCTCCCACCTGGGAACAGGTGAGACACGTGAGGGACGGGGGAGGACAGGTGAGGGACAGGAGAGGGACATGGGGGACAGGTGAGAGCACTTGGGCACAAGTGGAGAACAGGAGTCACTCAGGGGTCACTCAGGGTCACTCAGGGGTCACTCAGGGTCACTCAGGGGTCACTGAGGGGTCACTCAGGGTCACTGACCCTGAAGAGCTCCTTGAGGTCGTAGAACTGCCCATGGATGTCTCCGCACACCTGGGAAACAGAGCCCCAAAATGTCCCAAAATGTCCCCACATGTCCCCAAACCCCTCAAATCCCACCCAAACTTCCCAAAAACCCCAAAATCCCCCCAAAATGCCCTCAAAATGCCCCAAGATTCCCCTAAAATTTCCCCAAACCCCCTCCTGTCCACCTCAAATCCCACCCAAATCCCCAAAATTCCCCAATTTCTCCCCAAAAATTCCCAAATTTTTCCCCAGAATTCCCAATCCCCGGCCCGGCTCACAGTCACAGGTGAATCCACCCTCTGCACGTTGCTCTCCTCCACCAAAATCTCCCTGAAAAAAAAAACCAAACAAAAATCCCCCAAAACCCCCAATTAATGCCCCAATCAACCCCTCCGGGGGCTCCTGGGGTGTTAATTGGTGTTAATTAGCATTAATTACCGGGCCTTGGCGCACAGGGCCTTGACCTCGCTTTCCTTGATGAGCTCGCAGCGACGCAGCTGCTCGATCTGCCGGTCCAGGTCGCTCAGCTCCCCCATGGCGGAGCTAATTAACCCCTAATTAAGCAATTGGGAGCCTCATTAATTAACTCAGCTCCTCCCAGAAGGATAATTAATGAACGTGGGAGTAATTAACCCCAAATTTTCCATGAAAAGGGGTGGAAAAAAGGGGTTTGGAAAGGGTTAAAGCCCTTGTGGGTGGGTTAATTAACCCTCTAGTTAATTAATTAGGACCCTCGTTAATTGACTAAACTGACTCTGGGGGTAATTAACCCTTGCCAAGGGCAATTAATGAACCTGGGGGTATTAGTGCAGCCTAAGGCAAAGAAATGGATGCATTAAGGGGTTAAAAGTCTCACAAACAGCTTAATTAACCCTTTAATTAATCAATTAGGACCCTCGTTAATTAACTGAACTTCTCCTGGAGGAGTTGGAGGTGTAATTAATGAGCAGTGGGGTAATTAAGCCCCAACTTCCCATTAAAAGGCGGTTGAAGCCTCATAGACGTGTTAATTAATTAATCCCTTAATTAATTATATCATTAATAACCCTACAGGACCGCCCAAAATCCATCAGGGACCCCAAATCCTCCAAAAACCCCCAAATCCCAACAAAAGCCCTCACAGATCACAAAATCCCGTCACAAATCACAAAAATCTAACAAAAAATCACAAAATCCCAACAAAATCCCCCCAAATCCGAGCCTGGATACCCCAAAATCCCCCAATTCCCCCCAGATTTCCCCCAAATCCCCTCAGAGACCCCAAAACTCCAACTCCGAACCGAGCGAATCTCACCAAAATGCCCCAAATCCCCTCAGAATTCCCCCAAATCCCCCCAGATCTCTCCAAGACCCCACAAATCCCTCACAGAATCCCCT